TTCATCTTCCCTTAAACTCTGCAGAGTATTAAGATAAACTAAAAATTTCAATGCAAGATTAAATTTCTTTGTCCGGAATCTGAATGCACCATTCTTTAATAAGATTCTAATTTAAACTTCTGTATTCTGAAGTGCATTATTATAGTGCGTTTTGACGTATTTTGAGCATTTAGATGATATCATTGTTGGACCACACACGGGGATCATTACGTATTATTTATTTATTTCAAATGGCAGGCGTTATGATAGGCATCATTAGCCCTTTAGTTGACTTCGGGCTTCACGGAGAGGAGGAGGAACATCAAAGTGTCAAAAGTCGAGAGGGGGGACAGAATAATGATTCACAGACGCAAAAGAGACGAACAGACACAAAGGTAGAAAAAAGGTGAGGTGAGTACTGTGGAATTAGTCGAATGTGACATACAGTGGGGTCATAGTAGCTTAAAGTCAGAAGTCAACTGCCAGTTAATAGACTTTTTTGCCGTATGAATATACGTTGCCCAGGGTGCACCACGTGGAGGTAGCTCTATCGCATACCCCTCATTACGTATTATTGATACATGTAAAAGTGTGGGCTTCTTACCATTTTCAACATCTATATCTTATATCGAGCTGCTTAATACAAACTATTAATTAATTTTGAAATAAATATCCATTGGACGTGCAACAATTTAATGTTTTTAATAATTATTGTTATTTATAACTTATTAAGTAGCATTGTGGTTAGTACTAAAACAAATTTCGAAGTGTTACTTTTCATCATATGGGAGACACAATTGTAGCGGATTGCTACCTTAGTAAAGCCTGACTGACTCAGAAATCTCTGTGGCAGATTCTCCTGCATCTAGTTAGACTCCCAGGACTAGCTAAGCTACATCCCAGCTATAAAGGAAGCAGACTTATAGCACGGAGCACGTTTATTCAGTGAGTATAGTGTGAGTAATGTGTAAAGGCAGGGAGCTTAATCATGATCAGGATGGCGGATTAGGTTAAACAAACGGAGGCTACTGATTGGCCACTGTTTGTACGGCCGCACCTCCCAATCTTGGCGTGCAGGCATGCGATGACGCACTAAGTGATAACGTTTCCCACACAATGCTTATACTGGATAGAAATAAAGAATTTTAAAATCAAATAAGGTTCACCATCTAATGAATATTTTCTTCTATTTTCTAGCCTATCTTGACAGAAATAAAGTGCCTCGAATGCCTTGGCATGACGTCGGAGTGGGTTTGAACGGCAAATTGGTTAGCGATTTCGCCCGACATTTCATTCAGCGGTGGAATGCTCATAGAGTAAATTTTCCATTTGAAAAAAAAAACTTACAAGACACCGAAAATGAAGTAGATGACAGATTTACTTTCGATGATTTCAGAAAAGGCAAGCAAAGCAGGGGCGTAAACACTTCTTAGTGTCTCGAATTCCGCCCGTATTAATTCCCATGGAACCGGCAAATCCCAGCCTAGCAAATCATTTGCCCATGTTAGGAGGTGGAGGTAGCTGTTGGGGTAGCTCAAATACCGCCCAAACTTCTCTGAAAACTCAAGCTCTACGCTCCGTAAGCCATTGGTCCCTAGTCTCAACCCGCGATGCAAAAGCAAATAAGATAACATGGGGAAATGACGCTAACGCCTCTGTTATTACTGAGCATTCCATTCAGGATGCCTACGTGGAGGCCATTAAGAATGCTGAAAGCTTCATCTACATTGAAAACCAATTCTTCATCAGCTTCATGCAGGATGAGGATTCATCGCCAAGTGTTCGGAATAAAATAACTCAAACGATTTACGACAGAGTCGTTAGGGCCTATAAGTAAGGGATACTCTCTTGCAGCCTACTCTTCTTCCCATGACTAGTATTAAAGACTATTTTATTATTGGATCTTTTAGGGAAAAAAAGAAATTTCGTGTGTACATCATAATTCCATTACTTCCAGCATTTGAAGGAGTTCCTGGTGATAAGAGAACGGGAATTAACATCCACACCATTCTGCGCTTTACTCGACTTAGTCTCTTCAAGGGTAAAACTGCTTTGTTGCCACAACTACGCTGTGTTGTTGGTGATGTGGATAACTATGTCAGTGTTTGTGGTCTTCGAAAATATGAACAGTGGCCTGAAGGACACTTTGTAGGCAATATTTTTTCATTATTACTTCATCATTTTCTCACTTTTATATCAGACAAATTCCAACTAGCCTATTGATTGCTTTCATCTCATGGATGGTGGTGCACATCTTGTTTCATTTATTGTTGTTTAAATTTATCGATGTTGATTCACTATATTGTTATATCCAATGAGATTATTATTGCCACACATATCCACTAATTCAGCCACCACCATAGTTTCGTTGACCTTTGTAGTTATGGAAATACGATTTTAAGTGGTAAGGGGTGTGTGATAGACTTACCGTCACGTGGTGCATCCTGGGCAACGTAGACTCATACGGCAAAAGAATTTATTAACCGGCAGTTGACTTCTCACTTCAAACTACCATGACCCGACTGTATGTCATATTCGACTCCTTCCTCAGTACTCATCTCACCCTTGCTCTACCTTTGCCTCTCTCTTTTACATCTGTGAATCATTATTCCGTCCTCCATCTCGACTTTTTGTCAATTTGATGTTCCTCCTTCTCTCTGTGAAGCCCGAAGTCCAATGAAGGGCAAATGATAAATATCAAGACGCCTGCCATTTGACAAAAAATTTAAGTGGTAACCACCGATGCAAATGTATATATTCAATACACCAATGATCGTTGTTCTCAAAACATTTACCGATGATGCTTCCTAACGTTCTTCCAAAGGATTTTTAGGAGTTTTTACCCTGTACTTAACGCCTAACTAAAAAATTTGAAAAAAAGTAAAAATAACGAGATAAACTAAGTAACAGAGAAAGGGGGCTTGCTAAAATCTTTGTTTTAATAGGGGAGACGTGACAAAACCTCTGCCACTACATCACAGCCTTAAGAATGTGTACATTTCTAATAGGGATACAAGTTTTCAAAATGATCAGTTATTGTGTCATGCAGTTCCAGCTTTTTGAACCCTTAAATCTGCTTTGTTATTTTAAATGTCAATTCGCAAGCCAAAGAGGCATGTTAAGAAGCCTTACAATAGTAAAATTATTTTAATTTTTTTTCGAAGACTTCAGAACAAATCTACATCCATGACAAAATAATGATAGTTGATGATCGGAAGCTGATTATTGGATCGGCTAATATAAATGATCGGAGTTTGCTGGGTGAGAGGGATAGTGAACTTGGTCTCTATGTGGAGGAGATTCCATCGCCACAGTCAAAAATCGGTGAAGGTGTTATCGCGAGCATGCGAATTCGGCTAATGGCTGAACATCTGGGCGTCCTCAGCTCTGATAGATCTGACCCCCTCATCTGTTGTCCTCACCTCCTACTTGAACCTGCATCAGATAAATTCTACCTGGGAGTATGGCGAAAAACGGCGTACGACAATATGGAAATTTTTGATAAGGTAAGGTTCGACTCATTTATTGAACAAGTCACGTGTTTTATGAATACAAAAGTCTGTTTTCATTTGAACAAATTCGCGACAAAAACTGTAATATTAGTACACTTTGGAGCTGAGTAGACCTGCAGATCGTTATTTACTAATCGATTAGAGGAAAATCTCTTCAATCATTCTTATTGAGAAGGTGGAATGTTCAGTCGTGATTCCAATCACTTTACATCATAGAATAGTGAAGCTTAGGTGAGTTTTAGTTCAGCAGATCAACGATTAACACACTCGTATTCGTCTACTCATCACCGATCTGAACAGTAGTGGATATATATATATACATACGTATAGTAAAATAATAATTGTTAATAAATAACTATGATTATTTTTGGACTAGGGAGCCCAGTTGGACCACGTTCATCATACTCCGTTGTTTTCCATAGCTTTTTTGCTGCACTTCATTAAGCCTTCAGACAACCAATCTTGATGCCTCCTAATCACTGAACATGGCATAATGTTTTACCCTGTCAGAGCATTAATAATTACTATAACACACATAGTCCTGAGTGGATATGAGCAGTCTTAATTGATGGACTAACAATACCTTAAAAAGAAGTGCTACTTTAAGAGTCCAATCGAACTGCTGTCATCCTAAAGGCTACCAGAATACATATATCCTTCCAAAGTCAGCAGACGCTTAGTTGAGCTGAGAAACGGATGTACTGAAACTATGTGGTGGAATGAGAGAGAGAGAGAAAGAGATTGAAGGAGGAGTTAGAAATTATGGGGAAAGACAAAAAGGCGTTTTCATTGGGTGAGTGGAATCCAGGTAGTGATAAAAACAGGGTGAGTTAAGGTGTAATGAGGAAGTTTAATGATATCGTGTACGTTTGACATTGATATTCAGCCAACATTAATCAAATTTAACGTTCCGAAGAGTTCAAAGTCGTGAATTAATTGAGGTTGAAAATTGTTACCTTATAAAAATTAAGACTGGATGATAACTATTTCACTTCCTCCCTACGATTTTAAAAGCCAGAAAATGGCAAAAGTCTAATTATTATTCGATATTTATTGTAGGTATTCAAGTGCTCACCCTCAAATGACATTCGAGAGTACCTCCCGAACCCCCCTTCGACTCAAGGTCGTGAGCCACGTGGCGAGGAGTTCGCTGAAATGTTGAGAAAAGTTAGAGGTCATCTCTGTGAGTATCCTCAAGAGTACCTTGCAGATGAAAAACTCACTGTTCCTCAATTCACCAAAGAACGACTTGTTAGTGAAGAGATTTGGATATAAAATGACACTTTGCGCTACCAAGATAAAAGAACTTCAACTGAGAAAAACCAGAGGCCCTATTATTTTCTTTAATTTATGCCCAAAATGAACTATTTTTATTGAATTATTTTTAAATAAGATGTTTAAAATTTACTATTTAATCTTTCAGACAATAGGTTGTTCTATTTTACTGATTATAATTGGCTCAAACATAACCTCTCAATTCTTTAAAGGTGGAAAATTTAAGAATTGTGGCTTAAATCCTGAAGGCACGAAGGTGGATATAATTATACTAATTTAATTGTTAAAAAAATGTCTAGACAGGCGGGAAATTATGGCCATTAAGACGCATGAGTTACTTAAGCTTATCTCCCCCCCCCAGCTGCTGAAGGTGAATTTTAATTGGTCTTCTCCCACCCATCCACTTCTCACCGGCAACTGCTTCTTTATGTTTCAATTCACATATCTGTGCCTTATTTTCCTAGCTTTTTTGTGTTATGAGTAGACTTTTGATAAGAAATTTTCGCCCCCCCCTGCTCTTGGTAATGAGGAATTTGAAGAGGACTTAGCTAGCTCTAATTTAATTGTCTTTGTTTGACTCCCTTTTCGGAAAGGTGCTTTTGTGCCACTTGTAGTGGGAGTGGGCAGAGGGTAGATAATAATAACTTGTTTGGATAAATTGAAAAGTTATTAGAGAAATTATTACTGGAGTGTTAGTTCAGAAGCTGCTTCAAATATATTAAAGAGGATTTAAGAGTTATGAGAAGTACAAATGCGACGAAAAAACGACCCAAGAAGTTAAACAACAATCTGAACGTTTATCAACTCTATTATGAATCATTGACACATTCAACGTGGTTGCAAAAATGTCCAGCACTTATTTATCCTCGATGGATTAATTGTGAGCTGTTAAAGTATATTTAACCCCGTGTTACTAACCAATTTGGGTGAATTTGATGCTATTTGAATGTTTGTAAGGTTATAAAAGTGGCGAGAATTAAAGGGCAAATTTTCTGTTAATCCTTGCAATGTTGAAACTAGAAAATTTACAAATTCCTCCACAGCCTGTAGGAGTAAAAGATTTTTCAACAAAATTGGAATGTTTTAAACAAGTGGATTCTTCTATTTTCTCAATGTCCTCAATTCTATAATCTTATTTTATTGCACCTTCTGCATCTATGAAAACTCCCGATTCTTCAGCCGTTGAAGAAGTCACTAACATTTTCTTGAATTTATTTAAAACTTCAAAATCTTTGAATAGCGGCGAAAATCAGCAAACAAGCTTTCAAGGTGAATCTTATCAAATGGGCTGAGCAAACAAGAGTTAGGGGAGCTGAATACTACTTAAAATTGTTTCTGCCGATGGAATTCGATCAACTCATGTACTCTGGAAATGTATAGGAAAAAGTTTTGGCCAGAACCTCTTTCCCTTTAATGTCCGCGTTAAGTGCCTTGAAGTTGTGCTCGAGGAAGAAGAGACTAATTTTACAACTGGAGTTGGATGAGTGGCGAAAGAGGAAAATTCGATTGATCGTTAGTTGACCGTTTTCGAGTTCATTGTTCATTGATGAGTAATTGAAAGTAGTAACCAAAGGCTTCAATAACGATGCGGAACCATATGCCACAACATCTGCTCAGTTTTAGATCTCGATTGAATAGCAACACTTGTTTATTCGTTTGGGAAATTAAAGCCTGAAAAATGCCTCTGCATGCACTATTTTAAACTTTTTCTTTACCCGTTAACGATTTTAGGTATAATATTTTTACGGAACATATCATCTGCTTTTTACAAAAATTTTCTGCAGTCTTATTATTTATTCGAAATTTACGACACTCTTTCTCAAAATCTCTGGTATCAAGTTAAGCAGAACTGTATAGGGGGGGTGCATGGAGCCAGTTTGTTCTAATGTCTCGGCTCCTATAATCGATTTGATGCAATTTGACTCTCCTCACAATACAAGTACATACAACCGCCCCCTCGAAATTAAAATATTTCTCAAACCATTTTAGCACACCGTTTTTTGGTATTACCACATGTACCAACTTGTTCAAACACTTTGAATAATTAAGAAGCCTTCAGTAATATCGATCTCACTCAAACCATTGGCCATCATGGACCAATCCCCTTATCTTTGGTCTGATCAGGTCTCCTCCCGAATACATTTGTTAATAAATCTTATAGAATGCAAATTGCAGAGAGAATAGCTATAGGCTTAGTTGGGAGTACCTAGCTTCAATCTAGGTTAGAAGAGTACTGATTTACAATATCATGCTAATAATTGCTGGCCAGGATTATAGTACTCCGTGGGCCATTTTAATGCTCCGAATGTCAAATTTTGATTGGTTCTTGAATTCATGATATTCAGTAATTGACAAATTAACTTTTCAAGGCAGTTTTAATTTTTTTATTTCTGTTATCTTGAAAAGTTATATGCATATATAGGTATATCAACATAACTCCGACACTGTGATCGTGGTAAAAATGTAGGAAAGACATGCTCATGGTATAAATTTAGCTTAGAAGGTAAAAAAATTAAAGAGAGCTGTATATTGTCATCTGAGTTGCTTTGCGAGTTACGTAAGAAATAGAAATATTTTGCAATAGCATTGGTCATATCGTATACGTCGGATTTCTCAGCAGTGGTAGGAAAAAGGCACTAACTTCACCTTGGAATGAAGAGGAGGGCGCTGGCAAAGTAGGGGGCGGGAGAGATTGTGGTAAAGAAAAGGGAGGAAAGACGTTACAGAGATGGAAATATTCCAGTTGCAGTCAAGTCCAAACTATCGAACCGATAGCGTTCTCTTTAGATAGCTGTGGTGGTGTCAAATCCTCTTTGCAAAGGAAATCTTCAGGAAATCTCACCAAGTGGCCATGAAGACCTGCGATTAACTCATTGGCCTTCTTGGGATCACGTCGATATAATGGCTCTACACTGCGTATTTCGGCCACTTTATCAAAGGATTCCATATTGTTCGATGGCACCATGGCGAATACCTAGCAAAGTGAAGAAGCTACATATATTTGCTACTGATAACGACTCAGTAATATTTATTATACAAGTTACTTACATCATCGAAGATCTTCATATTACTCTCGGCGAATTTGCACCAAACGTTATGGAAGAACTCATTACAGACAGGGTCGTCAAGGAGATTGTGATTCCAATCGGCCGCTTCTCGGGCTTCTTTTGTCAAAACTCCAAGGTGCTCGGCCATGAGAGATTTGCGGAATCGGCGAGCAACTTCACCGACAAATACCTTCTGGCCTGCAAATATCGCCTCTTTCAATGTGCCAACCTAGACGAAATAATGAATTCAAATTTATTCTGCGTATTTTATCCAATATTTTAGAAAAAAGGGTAAGGTCAAACAGAAAATACGAGAAGACGAGAGTGGTGAGTCTATATTTTGGAGGATAATGTCTACCAAGATTTTGGGCATTTTGCTTAAAATAAAATCAAATTTAAGGAATTTAAGTAAAATTCACATCCTTTTCACTTAAACAACTGAAGCAAAAGCAACCAGCGTGAATTAGCGTCTATGAAATTAAAGGAGTCACCATTGCATAATCTCTTTAATTCAATTGGCTCTCAGAAGGGCTCTTAATCTTCGACTATAAAATTTACGATAAGGTGGACGTAATGGAGTTTAAGTCTTTCCATACCATCTATCCTCCTTTCACAAGGCAAGCATTTTACTTGCACATAATCCACTATGAAGATTTAGCCCATCTCGACGGTGTTATCATGTCCTAAACGTTGTCAACCCTAGCCAGCCATATCCAGCCTTCCAGTACACAAGTGACCTCTCTTTCGATCCTATTTCTTTCCTGTCTCATGGCCAATAGCAATACCTCTCCATTAAGAGTAATGGAAAATTGAAAAAAATATAAGATGATTTGAATAATTGAAGGGGTGTTTCAGATCTTTCACATGGAATCCCAACCGAAATAGTGTGGGGAAAATCTAATGTGAGTATTTTACTTTCTTAAAGATCTCACCTCTGCAGTGTCTTCGGCCACTAGAGCGAGTTCACTATCACGGTAACCAAGCATGCTTCGATCATTGATATTGGCCGATCCAATGATCAGTTTACGATCATCCACGATCATCAACTTTGAGTGAACGTAAATGAACTCAGTTGCCTGCAATAAACAAAACCAGGGGCTGAGAAAGGGGGTTAAGATGATAAAAAATATAAAATATAATTTGTGCAAAATTGTACGTCACTTCTTTCAAACCAGAAGAACAATAATTTCACAGTTGTGATAAATAGTAGTTTGACACCTTCACTAGAACATTCAATACTAAAATAGTTGTTTTTTTCTTCTGATGAGTGAATCGATATTTTCTTTATTTTTACTTCAATTTAAGGTCGAAACGTTGACGAATAATTGAACCTAAGAAAGAGACTGCATAGAAGGTGGAAATATGTCAGGAAAAAATATTTTTTTCTTCAGTTTTAATTTTCAGAATTTAGTTTTGTACAGCTTTATTTCCTATGCTCTGAATTTCAGCTAGCAGAATCTCTTCGCCCGAATCGTATTCAAAGCTTATTCATAAAGTGTTTAATTCCAATGGTCAGTTGTAAATCATGAAGGAATTCACTCAAAAATTAATATATTGCCGGCGTTTCACGATATGAGTAGGATGGGAGGTCAACTCAACTCGCAAATTGTAAACTGTGAGAATGCCGAAATTGGTGAGCTGTCTTCGATACTATGATCTAAGTAAATTCAACTATGTTTGTAAGTAAATTCTGCAAATGCAATTTCTTTTTTCGCATTCCACTCATCTCATATTTACTCACCTCGTAACATCGACGCAATTAGACCCACAAAAATAGCCCTAGAATCTGTTTTACAATTGCAAGGCCACATGGATTTTAAACACGTAAAGATGCGTTTAAAGTGACGCAATTTTTTTCTGATTTTTAATAGTGATACAAATATTACCAGTCGACCATCAGGCCAAGTATCGTAGGTGCGAAGACCGCAAACGCTGATGTAGTTCTCCGGTTGTGCTAAGATAGTTCTGAGCCGAGGAATAAGTGCACTTGGACCATGGAAGAGACTTTGTTTAATGAATAGCAGCTCGTAGTTTATGGAAACCCCAGTCACCCGAGAACCCGCATCACCTTCAAATCCTGGTAATAGGGGCATGATTATATACACTCGGAATGGTTTATTCTCCCTAAAATGCGGAGAATATTCGACACGTTAGCTTATATGCTCTTTGAACAGATCAGTAATTAAGAGGAAACATGAGGAATAATTAACCCTTCTTTTAGATTAAAGATAACTTCTTCCCACGACGCAATGAAATAAATGATTTCATGTGTACCATCACTCGCGTTAATTAGGGATGGACAAAGGTAGTGACCTCTTCAGTCAGTATGACAACGTCTACCAGCACCCTGACCTATCGGCGGATGTGGATTTGGGTTTAGGGGAGGAAGTAATTTGATGAATAAGAACCCTATGTTACAGATGGTCGTTTCCACCAACCTTGTTACTTTTATCGTTTCCTGATCTGTCCTTCAACCTTTCTGGGGCGTGCGATAGACGTACCTCCACGTGGTGCATCCTCACATGGCAAAAAAGTGTAGAAATCGGCAGTTGACTTCTGACTTCAAACTACAATGATCCCACTGCATGTCATATTCCACCACTCCCCCAGTACTCACCCTACCCTACTCTCTACCTTTGTATCTGTCAGTCTCTTTTACATCTGCGAATCACTCTTCTGTTCCACTCTTTAGACATTTTTCACCTTGTTATTCCTCCCCTCTATGAAGCCTGAAGTCAACTAAAGGGCTAATGATAATTATCAAAATGCCTACTGTTTGATGTAAATATTTTCTAACTTTCTTGCGCATACTGACTACTGCGCTCTTTTTATTTTATAAAATGCCTTATCTATAAGGTGTCCCTTTATAAATGCTTATTTGGACAATATCACATCGGGTTCAGATGCGTCAGTACAATCTAAGGCAAGGCAGACACTTGAATTAAATTATCTCAATTTATGTATATATATATATATATATATATATATATATATATATTAAAATAAGGGGTGTGCGATAGACTTACCTCCACGTGGTGCACCCTGGGCAACGTATAATTATACGGTAAAAAAGTCTATTAACCGGCAGTTGACTTCTCACTTCAATCTACCATGGCCCGACTATTTGTCATATTCGACCCCTTCCACAGTACTCATCTTACCTTTATTTCTACCTCTGTGTCTGTCTGACTCTTTTACATCTGTGAATCGCTCTTCTGATCCCCACCACTCGACTTTCTGCTACTTTGATGAACCTTCCTTCTGTGAAGCCCGAAGTCATCTAAATGGCTAATGATAGCTATCATAACGCCTGCCATTTGAAATAAATAAATATTAAAATAAAAAGTAGTTGTTATCGAGCGTTTTTCATATGAATTATTAAGATATTAGAAAGGTGCTCCTTTCCCAAATGCAAAACGAAAAAATAGTCTGTTCGTTTAGAGAGGCATGACTTTTTCCTTCCCATTAGCTAAATCTGACCCCTTTCGAATTGATTGGAGGCCAAATTACAATAAGGTGCAAAAATATTTTAAACCCAGCAGCTGAATCGTATTGCATATATCGAATCTCGTAATACCGAGAGATTATTATAAAAAGGGACATAGGTATTTAGTATTTAACGCATTTAAAATAAAAGATAGAAAGCAGTCAAATGTAATGAGAGGATATCCAAGCCCTTAACGCCCGAACAATTTTTTTTGAAAAATGCCCCCCCCCCCTACCGCACTCACATGGATCTCATAGCAGACTGATGCCACTGGTGTGATGTGTTTTGGTGGTGTATCAGACGAAGGCTACATAGACGTATTGAACATGTTTTAAACGGCAATAGCGTCTCCTGCTACGAGACCAGTAGCAATGGAGCTGATTTGGAATGAGCACCGTACTGCCCAAAGGGCTTTAAAGGGTTAAATAAGGAAAAGTCTGAAGACGATGACCTTGGAGGCAGAAATGCTGACTAAGTGGTAAGACGAAGCTGAAAAAATCCAGATGGTAATTGAGGTACGAAATAAACTAACCGATTGAAGAGGGAGACACAAGAATTGGATGGGAGATATAAATCCCCGCAGTATTCTATTTTATTAAGCGTGCGGGTTTGAAGAATGAGTAAAGAGTAAAGATAGGTAACCTTCTTAAATATCATCATATCATATCTCGCATGTGCATTTAAGTCGTTACTCCTAAAACTTAAACGAACAGTAAAATAAGGTCAAAACTCAAAAGAAATAGAGTAATTTAATTCATTAATACGCGTTACTAAGACAACTGGGCATTTATTGTTGTTAATGGCGACAGATAAATGATAGAATATTTATTAAAATAGAGGAAATTTGCCAATTTCGATGATTAATTGTTTAATAATTCATTATTTCGTTCGTATATTGTTTACATTCTGCCTGTTGTAAAATTTAATAAAGAAATAAAGTGCCAAAACCAATCGGGAAACTAAATCAAACCTCCGATAAACACTGAATTTGTGAACACGACCATGCGCCCATGAGATTAAGGATTAAAAAAAGAGCATTGAACACTGAGGCGTCGCTTAAGTGAACTCTAATCTTAGTGTATCGCTGCCCAATAGAATTGGAATAGAGTGGGGAGATGGATACTTCATCATCATCATCATCATCATCATCATCATCATCACCGAATAATTTGTCACGACTCTCTCCCCTTTGGGGCTAATTTTCACATTCGTCTTAGTTAAATGCTCTCAGGTTATTAAAATTCGTAAAAAGGGCTTTGTCCTACCATTGGCATTCACCAACACTTTATTTAAAGGATGACGAAAATAATTTGAAATGAAGGTGAATGGGAGAAAAAGGAAAATATTCCAAACTGCAGTAAAATAAGGATGTAAATTTGTTTGTTTAAAAGATATCTAAATGGAAGTATTAGTGACTTGTAAAATAACTGAATATGTGGCCAACTGACCTGTAAGCTCGTAGAATTCTATCATAGAGAGCTTGAACAATCATATTCTTCACCAAACCCGGTTGCAATTCTGACTCCATTGGCATTGGACTTCCAACACGCGCACAGTTCCTCGAGGCCTGAATATCGTGTTCCATAGTTTTCTCATTTAACCAACTCACAAAGAATTGATTTTCAATGTACACGTAGTGCTCAGCACTACGAATCGCTTCGACATAAGCATTATGGATGGATCTTTCAGTGAATTGGGGAGTGATATTCAAGTTGTTTGGCTCGATGGCAAAGTCATTATCCCCACCAGTACCCCCACTTCGGTTCACCACCAAAGACCAACGTGATGCGGACCTCAGAGCTTGCATTTGGACGCAGTGGGCACGCCGACGACCGGATACAGCAGACAAACCCATCTGTCTCCAAGCGTTGCTAGGAGGCGAAGGAAGAAGCATGGGAGGAATCGAAAGTTTTCTTTTATGAGATCTTCGCCGTTTTACTTTACGTATCTAAAGGAAATCGATGTGCTTTTCTTAGAACAATTTAATCGATTATCGATTATTTGCATTTTTAAAACTAAAGCAATTTTTTGAAAATTAATTAAGCATTTAATTAATATTTATCATATCCAATTTTAACTGATTTATTGCATAATTTTATTGAACCATTATTTGCTCATAAATAATAGAAATTTTTATTTCTGTCACGAAGATTAATTCCTATATTTCCGTTAGAAGTGCGTACGGATAAAGGGAATAGTTACTTTTAGCCAGAGATCAATTATGTTATTAAAGGCAAATTTAGATTGCGAACCCTACTAATAATTGAAAATTTGCGTTGAATGAAGAATTACTAGGAACTTATTGATCATTTACCAATATATCCCCTTGCTTCCAACACTTTAGAATGCGCACAAATTTTTATCAAGGCAGACCTCAAATGTTATCTTCCCTTTCAATTGGTTTGAACCACTTTGATGTCACATTTTTGTTTAGATAAACAAGATATCAAATTTACAGCGACCAAATTGCCATTTGAGTTTTTTGGCTTTTCAACATCAATAAAAAATAACCATTCATGTTGTAGTTTCATTTAATTTAGTGGAAATTTTCATGGCTCTAACTGATCTTAGAATTATTATAATTAATATGCCCGACTGTGAATCGCCTTTCTTACGCGATGGCGCAGTTAGTTGTCGGAACATTTTCTAGTCCTGTCGTCATGTCCATGACTGCGACAAGCGATCATTTACGTGGATCGGTCAAAGAGCTCTGAATATGCCTAATATAGACATTTAGGCAGGTACCCAATTGTGTCCAATAGGGATAAAGCGTTTGAACATTACGCGAAGATGGGTAACTAAATACTTTCAAAATTCCCTTGAATTAAGACCCTTAACATTTCTTAAGTGGCGTGTGCGATAGACTTACCTCCACGTGGTGCACCC